AAAAAAAAACAACCAAAGCAGGACTGCATACAGCTCAGGGCAAAGGCCCTGGGTTTTACCCCTGTACCCCTGCACATAGATACACAGACACACAGAAACACACACACACACACACACACACACACACACACACACACCGAACAAAAATAAAGCTTTAGAGTATCTTTTTAGGATATTCCTATTTAAAATTTCTTGATGCCCTTATTTGTCTAACAGACATAACCCACTGGAAGTCTCTTGCTTAAGGTCTTAGACCTCTCATAAAAATGAAACTTTGAAACAAATCTAAGTACAACTTTCAGATTTTATTAGGAAGGCATGAAAATTCATAAGGAAGTACTTCAAATGCTTTCAACATTCAGCTCTCACTCTAAAACTTATTAAAAAAGGGAAAAATAAGATACAAATAAACATTCTATAGTTTAGATACTTCCTGATAAATACAAGTAGGATGATATTAACTGTAACAACTGCAGTCACAAAGCATGAGAGACAGGCATCTACAGAGTTATGCAGAGCTATTGATGATCAAATATCTAAAAAGAACTACAACAATGCCTAGATTCTGTTTTTGGTTTCATTGCTTTGAGAAAATAGATAACACCTCACCAAAACAAATATCATCAATTAGTTCATCTAGATACAGTAAATTTTTTGAGAATTAAACTAGATATAAGCAAATAAATACTTGTGTTTAAGGCAATACAAATGCTAGTCATGCTGTTTGGGGCAATATATAATACATACATGTATTGAAACATCACACTGCATTCCATAAATATGTATAATTATTATATGCCAGGTAAAAATAAAATAAACCTTAATGTTTCCTGGGCAATATTAAAAGTGTGGGAACATTTATTTTGTAAAGAAAATATTTTTCCTTTAGGGATAAGATTATAAAATGCCAGATTAAAAAGTAAATAATTCTCAAATATATATGAATCGATTGACTGTATAAATAAATAGACATACATATATAGATACAGATATGATATTGTTAAATAAAATTTATGAAAGGCTATTGCTTTAGACTGAATTCCTACATTAGGACCCAAAAGATCAAACAAAATGTGTATGAAAAGGAAAAAACAACTTATGCCAAATGATGTACCTTAGTTACTTTGCTCTCACTGCTGAGACAAAATATCGGACACCCCAAATTAAAGGAGGAAAGGTATATTTAGCTCACATTTTGTAGAGGTTTCAGTCCATAATTGGCTGGCATACAGGCAAGGTGGCTTGCTATAGAACAGTTCCTAGTGGCAGAAGACAGCAAATGCAATAACAGAAGTAGCAGGGTCAAGCCTCTTTCTGTCTCTTATGTTGTATGCAGAGTACCCACCTTAGGGCAGGTGTAGCATTCACTCCCTTAATCCCTGCATTGGACTATGAATTATTCTTAAACTCTAGATTCAGCCACCTCTGAGAAGCCTGAGACCCATGACTGCATGAGGCTTTGGGAGAACATCCAGATACAAACCATAACATGGTGCATAACCAATCTGAAACAGTTTCCTAAAAAGAAGATATTCACAGCAGCCAGCCATAATGGGCCCAGTCAAGGAGATCTAGCGCGTTAAGGAGATCCCATATAGTTCAATCTTGTAAGGAAAGTTACCTAAAGTAATATAGTGTTAACCCATTCATTTTTTTGCACTGTACTGTTTGTTTTGTTCAAGCTTCCTTAGAAAAACTCACTGTTTTGTTCCTTCCAAGAGAGAATCTTTTTACTTTGTAGATGGGATGCTGTCCAATTCATGAATAACTAATGAAAATCAATTAGATCTTTATTGTTGAAATTTTGTTCTCTGATTCTCTGTGTATAAAGATATACTGAATGAGGCTCAAATTAAAGATGGACAGAGAGGTAAATATTTTAACCAGCATTCAGTAATTTGCACATACAACCACAACAATGAATTATAGGATAATGAGCAAGGAAACATAAAATGCTTAATGGCCCTTGTACTCAGTTCACAGCCATAAAAACCTACTTTGAATCATGTTTAATTGAAACATATGTTTTCCAGCAGTTTGCACATTTGTTTTAAAAAGTTAACCTGATTCATTTCTACCTAAAGAAAGGATGGATCCAAACATAAAATGCATAGATAGAGAATCTTGTGAATATAATATGTTGCAATAGATGACAGCAAAATAAGTAGTCAAGACTTGGGTTGTCTGAAGAATTCTTACGATGATCATACATTTTTGGTAACATCTTTGCCTAAATTCTTTTCAGCAGTTATGTCACATTTGCGACTCCTGATAGCCTCCCATCTCCTCTGAAAGAAGGTAAAAAGCAGTTTGAGGCCTTCCTTGATAGGCTGATTTATGTGACTGGTCATATCATTTTCAGAGTGTTCCAACTTGAAATGGACATGAATCAAGTTACAACTGGGGGAAAAAAGTAGGAAAAGATAGTTTCATTTTTTCACAGGAATAAATTCTGACAAGGCATGCCATACAGTTGATTTCAGCTATGCCATCAAGTTTCAAATTAGGAGGCTGTAATTTTGAGTCAATCTTGACAATCTGAAATGACAGAATGTGCAAATGAAAATTTAAAAAATGCTATCAGATAATTGTAAAATCTTAAGCACCAAAGGTACTAGTGTCTTTCATTTTATATAATAAAAAGTGCTGGAAAATTTGGATGTAAATGGAAAGTAACTGGAATCTTATTTTAAGGAAATACTTTGATCTGCAAAGTATTCTCATTTTAAAAGAATTATTCTGCAAACTGAATAATAATACCCTAATTTACCTATTGTACCCTATAATTTAGACTAATTCCCACTAATTTATGTGATAGCATTTCTAACAGCTAGTTGAAATAATTTCACTTATATCATACCGAATATATCTTAGGTGCTAGCAAACAAAAAAAAAAAACAAAATAAAACCAAATAGGAAAAAATTATAAAAATGTCTATATAGTGTAAAGATGAATGCTTTCAATGAAAAAGGAAGAAAATTTTTTTTCAGTTCCCTTATTCAACAAAAGCCATTGATAATTAGTTACAGCCACTTAATATGTTTTAAAGTTTAAGTTCTTTTGAAAAGCATTAATTTTATAATTACAGTTAATATTGTTAATAACAATGCAATTTAATATACCACTTTAGAAAATGATCACCCAAGCTACAGTTGTAGCTACAGCTACAGTTTCTCTCCAATTTCATCTGATTATCTACAAAACTGTCATTTATACCTAACTTTATACAAGACAAGTGTTTGGTGGCAATATAAGAAAGAGCTATTCATTCTTTTAAACCCATAAATAGTATTTTAGGATGGTGAAGTAATGTCTCTTTGAAGCACATAGGTAACTGAACCCAGCTATAATATGGCAATAAATGTGTACACCACGGACAGTCTCTGAAGAGTATCACAGTATTTTGAGAATCACAAAGGATGGGGCTAATGTCAAAGTTGTATGTACCTAATTAATCATTCAGTGTAGCTGAGAGATAGTAGTTTTAGATTAGATCAAGAGCACTCAAATAAATAAATAAATAAAGGGCCATACCTAATTAATCATTCAGTGTAGCTGAGAGATAGTAGTTTTAGATTAGATCAAGAGCACTCATTATAAGAGAAAACAGACTTAGGGTATTTTAGAAAAGATAAGACATATCATACAAATTATAGAATGATTTTAAACCTTGAAGTGAAATAAGTTCCAGGGGCATCATTCTCAATGTTTATGCCTTAAGTTCACTTTATAACATTTCTGTCAACTTATCAACCTCTGCTCAGATTCCTTCATGCTAGGCAACTCAATGTCCCTTAGCACAGACTCATTCTGCCATGATCAAGTGGTTAGTTTCTTGTACTGATTTGAAGCCTACCTTTCTAAACTTCTCCCCAAAGGGCCAGAATACCAAAGGAACTGAGAAGACTCATTCTCCAAACTCCTTTCCCCATCCTAACGTTTATCATGCTTGGGTACAACAGATTTTTCTGTTCACATTTTCTTCCTTTCTTTTTAAGTTTGAAATAAAGAATATAATTTATTCTAGAAGAAATATTTTAGGCCAGTAGAACAAACATTAATAAAAGAAAATATGCCTACTTCTTCACTGCAGAAGTTTATATTCAGTGGTTATATATAGTTCCTAGGAAAAAAATATGTATTTTATCAAGGAAAGAACCAGGTCAACAGGTTAATCTGCTATAGCAGCATAGAAAATGATTAAGTGTAAACACTCTAAGCAGAACTGGTTTGAAATTCTGATTTTGCCACTTACTAGTTTGAGGTAGAACCTCTTTGGGTCGAGGGACCTGGGCCCGTGGTAAGCGGCGACACGGTGAAAAGAAGACACCGGAGACCAGGCTGATGGTGCAGATCCACTTTATTGCGGAAGTACCAGGCATTTTATTAAGCAGGCTAGAGGCGTGGCAATGTAGGCGGGGCTAGGGGCGTGGTTTGGAGGCGGTACTTTTGGCCGGGGGGCTGTGCGGAAGTAAGAGGTCAGAGCTGGACAGCCTAGGCAGGGCGACTCACTCGGTGTGCCGAGGACATGACGAGTCCGAGTGTGCTCAGACCCGCTCCTCTGCCACGGCCGTCAACCAGACCTCTGGACCTCTCTTTCCCACACTATTTGTGCAACTGTGGCAACTTATCGCCCTGGTATTAGTGTCCTTATCTCTATGGCAAAAATCATAAAAGAGCAGCATATTTGGCCCTCTAAGTTCATGGATTCAATTAATGTGGATTAATAATATTTGTAAAAAAAAAATCTATACTGAACATGCATAGACTTTATTCCTTAGACAATATAATACAATAATTTATACAGCAATATTCTGTATTAGATATTACAAACAACCCTGAGGTGATCTCGAGTATACCAGAAGATATGCATGGGGCTGTGGTGATGCAACTTTTGCACGCATGTTATTTGCTTTTCTTTAAAATAAAAAATGTTAATGTATGAATTATATTTTTCTAAACTAAAACCTCAGGATTCAAGTTTAATTGCAGCATTGGCACTTGGTGAAAAATAAGTGGGTTTGGGGTTGTAGATTGGGCAGTCATCTCTAAAAGGCTTGCTGGCATAGGTTATATGTAAACCCCTTGTCATTTTATATAAAGACTTGAGCACTTGTGGTTTGGGTTTCTGTGGGAGTTCTGAAAGCAGCTAGCCCCAGATACCAAGGTATGGCTTTAGTTTTTTCTGTGGTGTTATTGTTATATTTTACAGTGTAAATTACCTAACACAAAGCACTTACAACAGTATCTAACACATAGCATACATCCAATAACTGTACACACAGCATACGCCAAGAAAATACATGGAGGTGGGCAGAGAGAATTAGGGGAGGAGGTGGGGGTGAGAAAGAAGAGATGGCATGGTGGAAGAAGAAAGCACTGATCTTCTCCAGATGGTGGGTGTCTCAGTTACTTTTCTCTTGCTGCTAGGACAAAATACCCAGTGCTGAAAGTTAAAGGAGGAAAGATTTATTCAGCTCATAGTTTGTAGAGGTTTTATTCCATAATTGATTGCCTCCAAGGTAGAGTGGCTTCACAGAGGACAGCAATTCATGGCAGGTAGAAAACAGCAAAAACAAGGAGGGACCAGAGAGTCAAGCCTCTTTCTGTCCCTTATAATGTATGCAAGGTACCCGCCCGAGGGCAGTTGTAGCACTCATACCCTTAATCCATTGGACTGCGAATCAATCATGAGCTCTGGATTCAGCTACCTTGGAGAAGCCTGCCCCCATGAGGCTTTGGGGGGACATCTAGACACAATCCATAACTGTGGGCCTCACAGTTCTTCCCAATCTGCATTTCTAGAACTGCTTCTCCAGAAAAGGCCTCTGCCGGGAATATCGTGGCAAGTGTGGAATAAACTAAAAATCCCAAAGGAGTGCATGTGACGATGTTCAGTGCTTGATAGCCTGCTGAATAACATCAGGTAGATTTTAGCTGGTGACATATGCCTGCAGTCCAACTACTCTGAGAAGCTGAGGCAAGAGGATTGTAACTTGAAGCCCAGCCTTGGCAAAAAAGCTACTTAAAAAGACTGTCTCAAAAAAATAAATAAATAAATAAATAAATAAAGGGCCAGGGATAAAGCTCAGTGTAAAGGCCTTAGGCTCAACACACAGTACCACAAAAAAGTTAATTTTTGATTAGTTAACATGTGCATAGTACAAAATTCTAAAGGTATAAGGAGCTATGGAAAAAGTTTTCCACCTACTCAGTTCCTAACCATTCACTTCCTACTCTTATAGCCACAATTTATCATATTTTCAAGTGAGAAATAAGCATTAGGCCATTAATAAAGATTCACATTTCCTTAATTACAACTTTTAAATTTTGGAACTCAGGGAGAGAAAAGAGATGATTTGGAGACATGTTTTCAAAATGTATCTTTCTTATTTGTTTTGTTTGAACATTTAACAGTGGGATAGATATTTCCCCCTGAGCAAATTTTGAAAACTGAATAAATCTTTTGAGGATGCTGCCTTGTTGTGTGTACTCGCTAAGATTTTATACATTTCATGCTGGTTGTATACATTATCTATACCATAACAGAAAATCTGCTATAAAGGAAAACTTAGATATTTTATATTTCATGTAGCCTCTGATCCATGAATTTGTCTTAGACTTACGTTGCTAGAAAGAAAAATACAAAAAAACCCAGCTTGATACAGTTTTATCCATCAAACCCAGCTTCTTTAACAAAGTCTGAGTGAGCCAAATCATATTATGTTGGTTTTGATTTGCCTTTTCCAGGCAGTATATAGAAGGGTAAAAGGTCTCTGATTCTATCAAATATGCCCTGAAAAATAAATCTTGTGACATGTTCATCTTCTCTCCATCTATCAAAATGAAACTAACAAACAGTCCCAAATACAGAAGTGGAAAAATGAGAAAAGAATTTTTTCCTGCTCCAACTCAGTGAAAACTAATATCTGCTAGAAATGGAACTGAGTGTAAACCTTCTCTCATACCAACTCTATTCACTTGAAAGAGAATTAGCACAAGTCAAAAAATGTAAGTACAACTCTTCTATCAGCAGAGTTTTGCTGGTAAATATTGGATCTAACTGAAAATTTAAAATGTGAACATAGCCTGAACTAGTGAATAGTGGGAAACACATTTTGTGGAAAAAAATTATAAATTTGGGCTTTATAATCATGTATCTCATTCCCAGCTTGCAGTGGAGATGCTCTGGGAATGAGCTGTGTGTGCAAGGCTACATTTCACATTTGTAATATACAAAACACTTGGTATTACAGCTCAAGTGCACCGTGGCGACATTTTGAAAGGATGTTTATATGTGTGAGCTTCATGTGACTAAATCAGGTTCTTTATTCATCTCACTATTTTGCTGGTTTTATCAGCTCCCTCTTCTTCCTGCTGTTGTCACAGTATAAATAAATGGTCAAGATGATTCTCAGTTACTAGAAACTCATACTCCAAAATGAAGGTGGGTGTTCATATTAGTTGGAAAGTTAGTATTGCTACATGTCTATGGAGGGCTGTCAGGGACCAGTGTTAGGGAGGTCTCTGCTCCATGAAGCCATCCAGGGATCTGACTGACAGAGGATCTACCATACTGTGGTTGCACACAGCCCCCTTAGAAAGAATGCTTGGGTATATCATACCTGTTGGGTTCTGCAGTCTGAGTCACAGGTTTGCAATACTCCATCTTTTAACACTAAAGATAAAGTCAGTTCCTTCTATTGGATGTGGAACACACTTACACTCTCCTCAAGACTTCCTCCAGGAGACCTCCTGTCTCTAGTTCTGTGACCCTCAGGCTCCTTCAGTCGTAGCATTAAGTGAAACCAATCAGATATCCATGTGATTCACAGTAGTCCTCACACATTTGTGAAGATGATTTGACTGGGTCTGGAGAATTTGAAATTAAAAGATGAGTTAGCAGCTCTCTTTTCAAGTACTTATCTTTACATACACACACGCACACACACACACACACACACACACACACACACACACACAATGCAGGGGCAGCAGAAGGACAGAGTAACCACAACAAACACCCCTCCTTAAGAAAAAAGAAAAGAAATGCATAGATGTAATGAATGATGTGAGGCAAAGACCACTCGACAGGCTTTTGTGAAAGCAGCGAGGCATAAGATTTATTATACGTGGGTGCACACAGGTGGAGACCATCCATGGGGAGCAAAGAAAAGCAGAGGCTCTTTTATAGGACTTGAACAAAGGGGGTCTGGCAAGGGACACGATGTGAGAAGGTCTGAGTAAACATCAGTGGTCAAAGTTCTCAGAGCATCCGGTGCAAATATATGGATATTATCAGATGTTCTGGCACTGGGAAGATTCCATGCTCTGCTTCATCTCTTCTCTATGACATCTTGTCCTGTGTTTGCCGAGGGCAGCACCTGGGCTGGGCTGGGAATTTTTGCTGTGAACAACGTGGCTGATGAAAAACAAGTTGGACACTGGGAAAGTCATGCCTGAGTGTTCTGTATGATTATGAACTCTGACTGGGCAGGCGTGATGACAGTGAGAATTTTTCTGTTTTTCCTGTGAAAATAATGTACTTAAAAGAAACCCTTAAAATTTCAGTTGCTCAGAACAGCAAACGCTTTTTGCCACTCTAGGATATATCCAGGAACAGGAATGCTCCAGTCCGGCACTGATCCTACTCTTTGGGAAGAGCATCTTTATCACTGGTCTCCAGAGTGCATGACTTTGCTTCTTGGCAGTTTCTCTGCCTTTATTTTTCCTGGCCACCTCAGAACCTGGCATTGGATAATATGCCCAAGTTGAAGCTGCACAGTTTTTTGTCTTATTTCTTCCTTCCTGCTCAAGCCAATCTGGGGAACAAATTTTCTTTAAATTTTCAGTAGCTCATAGGATTTGGGGGATAGGGGAGATATCCAGGTGTTACAAAAATCTTACAAATTTTATTACATAACTTATTTTTTTTATCTCAGCCATTTCCAAATTCTAGAAACTACAAGCACAGTCATTTTTGAGATATATTTTACAGATTTGTTATGTATTTTTGCTCTCCCAATAATGGAAGTAGTCTTCTCAGAAAAATCTTGGCCCTCTAGTCTTTTCTTCCCGCTGATCCTTTTTACCCCCTGTGAAGTTTTACTCCACGCCGTGTGACTAGAGATGTTACAAACACCCATTTCTGGGGGTTTTAGTGTGATGTAAATTTCATTTCTGTAGAGGGTAAATATCTAGAGTGGGTTTGCTGCATCACTTAGTAAGAGGATGTTTTACTCTAAGGAGCAACCCAAATTATTTTCCAAAGTGCCTGCATCATTTTATGTTACCACCATGTGTTAGTCAGCCCAGGCTGCAATAACCAAATTCTGT